ATGTGGGAAAGCCTTCAGTCAATCCTCAGCCCTTACTTCACATATAAGAGTTCACACTGGAGAGAAGCCTTATGAATGTAAGGAATGTGGGAAAGTCTTCAGTTGTTCCTCATCTCTCACTAAACATATAAGAACTCACAGGAGCCTTACGAATGTAAGGTATGTGGGAAAGTCTTCAGTTGTTCCTCATCCCTCACTAGACACATAAGAACTCACAGTGGAGGGAGGCCTTATTAATTTAAGGAATGTCAGAAAGGCTTTTTTCACTCAGTTCTTTACTACAGTGCAGAGAGACATTTTATATAAGGAATGTGGGAAAGCTGTTATTTATACCACTTATCTCACAGAACACAAGGCATAGTGGAGACAAACCTGAATGTAAGAAATGTGGAACTGTATTTAGTTACTCTTTTTCTGTAGATGAGAATTGTGTGTTTTCTTAAACATCGTTCAAGTTTTTGTATTTTTTCCGTGCATAAGTTAGTATGTTCTCCTTATGGAAAATTTATTTTAAATAAAATGGAAAACCAAAAATTATTTAGAATCTAACCACTGTTGATCTTTTGTGTACTTCCTTTCAGCTTTCCTTGTGTTTGGATCACAGGAAAAGCAATCATGGTGTAATGTTGTGTTAAAGGCAGAGTTACAGAATAGTGTTTACGTGATGATATCAGTTTGTAAAACATTTACATATTAATGTACATTTTACAAATACCAAAAAAGCATCCTGTAGAGATAGTCCATTCTAGAACATTAACAGGGATTTTCCCCTGAAAGTGAGATTTTGATTGATTTCTTTTCTCATTTTGCTTCCCCCAATTTTCAATTTTTTAACAGTCATTAATCATTGCTTATGAAAAATTTCACCATATTTTAAAATTTAAAAACGGCAATTCACTTCTGGAATCTGAGTTGACAAATGCATGAAGTCACATAATAAGTTGCAAAATTAAAGTACAGAACGGTACCATTCTTCCCTCCAAAATTCTCCTGGTGCTCCCCCTTTTTACTCAAACTTCCCCTGGCCATGAATCCCTGGAAACTGTCCCTGTACATTCCATGCGCCCATGCACCATGTAGCTTTTTGATTCTGGCTCCTTTCCCATAGCATAATGCATTTGAACGTCATCCATGTTGATGACTGTATTGAAAGCTTGTTTCTTTTAGTTGCTATGTAGTATTACATCGTATAGACATATCATAGTTTTTGTATTTTCAACTGAAGTACGTTTACATTTTACAGTTATTATGAATAAAACTGATATGAACATTCCTGAACAGATTTTATGTGAACATATAGTTTTCCTTTTTCTCGTGTATATTCCTGGAAGTAGGATTGCTGTCATAGGATAGGTGTATGTTTAACTGTATAAAAAATTGCCAACCTGTTTTAAAAGAGGCTTTGCCATTTTGTATTTCCACCAGCCATCCATAGTTCCAGTTATGTTGGGATCTTGACAGGCCGATTTCTGGTGCAGTCTCTTGGTACACTTCTGTTTGGCACAGGCATCAAGGGAGGACATTCAGATGGGTAGCTTTCCTAATTAGTGCTGCTATAACAAATAGCACAACTCTGTGGCTTTAACAAACAAATTTATTTTCTCACATTTTAGGAGGCTAGAAGTCAACGTTTAGGGTGTGAGCTCTAGGGAAAGGCTCTCTGCTCTGGGGGAAGGTCTTTGTCTCTTTTCATCTTCTGTTCCTCAGTTCTTTGGCATTCTTCATGTGGCATGGCGTCTACCTTCTCCCATCTGTGTTTTTTTCTGTGCCTAATCGGCTTCTTTTGTATCTCTGAAATGATTGCCTTAAGACACACCATACACTGGTATGACCTCCTTAATACAACAAAGAAAACTCTACCCCCGGTGAGATTATATCCACAGATTTAGTGGTTAGGATTTACAACACAGATTTTTGAGGAATACAATTCAGTCCATAACAGTGGCTCATTTGACAGGCAGCCCCATATTTGCTGAGGAGAGGTGGTGCCCCGTAGCAATCTCGATTAGATGACAGGCCTGTGTGTATGGGACTTTGAGCTATCCTGCCACTGCTAGCCTGGTCTGAACCCAGGTTCTAACCAAGTCTTGCAGAAGGAAACCAGTGTTTCTACTTCGGTCTCAGCTGTAGGAAGTGGTCATTGTTCCTTGTCATCACAATTCCTGAGGCCTTGGCTATTACTCTGTTTCTGGAGTGGTAACCAAAAGTGGATGTGGACATCTGAGTTAGCAGGTCAGCTTGTGGGCAGCCATATTAACCACCTACTCCCTCCACTCTTGTGTCTGAAGTAGGCGCAATTGGTGGATTGTATGGTAAAACTATGTTTAACTTCCTAACAAAATGCCAGAGTTTTCCAGTGTGGTTGTACCATTTTATATTCTCACCAGCAATGAATGAGAATTTCTGTTGCTCCACTTCCTTGCCAGTAGTTCATGTTGTCAGTATTTTGAATGTTAGCTATTCTAATAAGCTTACAGTAGTATCTGTTTTGTTTTAATTTTCAATTTCTTAATGACATATGACGTTGAACATCTTTTCATGTAATTTGTCATGTTTCAGTGAAGTCTGACTTCAGATCTTCTGTTGTGTAAATGGGTTGTTTGCTTTCTTAAATTTTTGAGTTTGTAGATTTCTCTGTATACTTTGGGTACAAGTCGTTTATCAAATGTGTGTTACAGACTTTATAGTATGTTTTAATATCTAGTGCGGCTATTATCTTCTTTTGGTATTTTTCTCTCAAGTGATTTTCTGGCTATTTTTCTATGGTTTTTTTTTTTCATAGAAATTTGTTACGAATTTATCCAATTCCACAAAAAAAGTTATAGATATTTTTATTGGGATTGCATTAAATTTACAAACTAACTTAGGGAGACTTGATATCATTATGGTATTTAGAGGTCCTATCCAATAATTGGAAACCCTGGTGGCATAATGGTTAAGTGCTACAGCTGCTAACTAAAAGGTCGGCAGTTTGAATCCACCAGGCCCTCCTTGGAAACTCTATGGGGCAGTTCTACTCTGTCCTGTAGGGTTGCTATGAGTTGGAATCGACTCAACGGCAACAGGCTTGGTTTGGTTTTTGGATCCAATAATTGGGGAAGACTGACACCATGTGAGGATAGTCTGCAAGCCAAAGAATAAGAAGACACCAGAAACTAGGAGAGAGGCTCACAAAAGGAATTGACATGGCTGAGACCCTGAGTTTGACTTTGAGCCTCTGAAATTGTGAGAAAGTAAATTTCTGTTCTTTTCTGGTATTTGTATTACAGCAGCACAAGGTAACTAATTCTCACCTTCAACTCGTTCATTTCCTGGCCAGTGTACCTCAGGTGCAGTCACTATCTGTCAGTGGTGGTTTGCATGTTGCTGTGATGTTGACCAGCTTTTTGTGGAGATTTCAGACTAAGATAGACTAGGTAGAAAGGCTTGGTGATCTACTTCTGAAACGTCACAGCCATTGAAAACCCCATCCAGTTCTCTGACGCACATGGAACCATCAGGAATCGGAATTGACTCAATTGCTACTGATCTGTTTTTTGGTTGTTTCGGAATGGTTATGGAATTTTGTCAAAAGCAATTTTCATCAAGTATGGAGGTAAGTGAATGAGTTATTTTCTTGGATCTGTTAATACACATGATATTAATGGGTCTACTAATGAACCAACTTTACATGCCTGATATAAATCCTATTTGGTCATGGTGTGGATTTGGTCAATGTCTTGGATTCTGTTCACTGAACTTCTGTTTACCATTTAGTTATTGATATTCATAAGTGATGCAGGTCTGTAGTGGGGTTAGTTTGGTATTTGGGCTTTTTTTTAGTTTACTGTTTTATCAGGTATTGGTATCAGTATTTCAGGGTGGTGAAGACTCAAGAGGTTCCAGATGTAAATTGTTTATCTCAAGAATGCGGGGGTTCCACCCCTAGTCTGCCCTGCCTTGGCAAGTCCCGGCTTCACAGACACTCTCCAAGCAGGAACCCAGAGCTGAGCCCAGCACTCCATTGTGTTATGTGTTAATAGTATACCCACAGCCAGTGCCACAACCTCTCAGGAGACACTCAACATTCTGGTCTCTGCTGGGGTGCTTTTAAAAGGAAGAGCAATTCATGTTGGAAATAAATGTGTTGAAATAAGCCTTAGATTTTAAGTCATATGTTTAAGTGTGGGAAAATGCTGTTGTAGCTAAATACAGTGCAGATACTTCTCGGAGGAGGGTCCTGAGGCACGATGCAGGCCTCACTCCTGTGGCGAATGGGCAACACTTGCTCCTGGGAGAGCTGTGACAATGCATACTGGCTCTGCTGTCACTTCCACTCTCCTTACCTTTAGGGCTTTTCCCAGAAGTGGCTGGGCTTTGGGGACAGAGAAATCTGTAAGCAGACAGCCTGGAGGACCATTTCACGTCCAGATCCAAGGCCACACACCCTCTCTTCCCCAGGCCTGACACGTTGGAGTGATGAAGGCTGACAGAAATGCTGCTCCTGGCCTACTACCTTCTCACTGGACACCTGCAGCTTCCAGTCTCTCACCTGCCCTCTCCCCTCTGAGCCTAGAAGTGAGTGTCTGATTTTCTCTAGGGCAGCTTCACCTGGATGTCCAAATGGAATGCCTCTTCTACCTAGACCACTCCTTCTCCCCATCCCATTGCCACTCCTCTGCCTGTGTCATTTCCTGGGCTTGTCCTTGCCTCCTACCCCACATTTCCCACCCCACCTGGAACAAAGCCTGATGCCTTCAGTTCATCCCCTTATCTCCACTCCTATTGCCAACACCACAGTCTGAGCCCTGATGACCCTGCCTGGCCCACCATACCAGGCACTTTTCACCGACACTCCCTGTCATCCTCCACTTGCAGTGAGCCCATCCTTCCCTAAACACACATGCGAGTATGCCACGGCCCTGTCTGCCCTCTCACAGCCCCCACTGCCCTTATGGCCACCCTCAGCGACTGGGCATCTGAAACCTCCCCAGCCTGCCCCTCCCCACCTTTCTGGGCTCACACTGAGGCCCAGAGGAGTAGAGGAGCTTCCCCCGTTGCCCAGCCTGAAGTGAGAAACAAACCTTATGCAGGTGAGGGGGCCTCTGGGGTGCTGCTCTGAGGCTCTGCATGGACTGAGCTGGCTGTCCACTCCAGGTCATGGTACCTGAACTTTCCACACCTGCATCACCCTTGCCTTGGAGAACCAAGTTTCAGAGAGAAAGGAGTCTCCGTGGATGGGCAGAGAGCACAGAAGGTCCCCAGCTGTGCAGGTGAACAGAGGAGGGAACAATAACTGAGCACATGGGCGTTCACATGTGCTGGGGGCAAGGGTGCAACCATTTTGGGAAATAGTCTGGCAGTTTCTTATAAAGTTACATGTAAACCTGCCCATTGACCTAGCGATTTCACTCCTTGGTATTTACACAAGAGAAATGAAAACATCCTCAAAATGATGTGTGCACAAATGTTTAGAGCAGCTTCATTCATGATTGACATCCCAGATGTCCATCACCTGGTGAATGGATGAACATAGTGTGGTGCATCCACACCATGGAATGCTACTCGGCAAAACACAGGAACAAAAGACTGATGCAACCACATGGACGAACCTCAGAAATATTACGTGGAATCATGGAACTGGATAAAAAGACTGTGATTCCTTACCTGAAGCTTAAAACCCATTGCTGTCGGGTTGATTCCAACTCATAGCAACCCCATAGGTCAGAGCAGAACTGCCCCATAGGGTTTCCAAGGAGCAGCTGGTGGATTCGAACTACTGACCTTTTGGTTAGCAGCCAAACTCAATCACTGTGCCACCAGGGCTCCTTGAAAGTAGGACAGTTTGTCCCATATGCTCCACATGGTCAAGAACTGTCTGTCTCTGAGGAGATGATAGAGTGGGACATGGGATTATAGAGGTGTGTTGGGTCAAATTAG